CGGCCGACCGATATTATTGGCCCGATAATAGCATATTATGTAATATATGTAAGAAACGTTATCAGTGTTTTTTTTCTCCAATAATAAAAACCTGATAACGCAATGCCTGGCTTTTGCCAAATGATGTGCGCCCTAAAAATACTTTGGGGGATAAACAGCTGTACGTTAAAGTTAAAGTCACTAGATGGCAGCATTGCAGCTCACTTAAAAATCTCATACTCATACAGTGGTTTGTACAGATTCATAAACAAATATTACCAGGCCTATATTGGTATTGGTTAATATCAGAATCATAAATTAAGTGTTTGGAAATAGTGCCATATCGGATATCGGCAAAAAGTTAATATCGGACATCCTTACTAAAAACATAAACAGTATACAGCAAGAAATTTTTGTTTTAGAGGTAGCAGCCAGATGCATTTTTAAAATGTGGAGGTATTTTCTCCTGCAGTTTTTCAGTTATCAACTTACCTGCCACTGCATCCATGTTTAACAGACATCAGCTCCTCAGGTAGTGGCTACACATACTCAGGGAAAATGAGATTTTATTGTAATCAAATATTAATAATTCAGATATTTTTATTGCCGGCTTGCTTTTTATACTCTTAATGGGAACGTTGAGGAACATCGATTCAGATGTGGAGTGTGTTTATTTTTCTATGAGCAGTTCTAGCGCTTTGATTAAATTTTCAATGAAATGAAATCTACTTTAATGTCCCGGTGGGTAAACGCATCTATAGTTCCGCAGGCAGTCTATATAAAAAAAATGAAACAACATAGTAACAGAAAAAAGTATAAAATACAATAACGGAAAATTAAATAAAGCAAGTACATTAAGCGTTAGACAAAATCATGAATATTTCACATTATCCAGGGCCGACTGTGTCTTGTATGAATGTAGGTCTACTTCTGTGAGTTATCACACAGTTTCTTTGCGTACTTTTCATCATATCACACACGTTCGATAACCGTGAGCGATGCACTAAAAGCACTAATAAGAAATCCCTGCTGTTGGTGTTTTATCTCTCAGGTCGAAAAAGCGCTTCAAATGCAGTCGTCACTAAAAGTTTTTTTTTTCTATAAAATTTCAATTAATTGGTCCGAAAACTATAATTTATTTATTGCAAATTTTTATTTATTTTTTTGTTCGTCAATGCATGACAGGCAGAACAATTAATTATTCTTCACTAGGTGGCAGTAGATGGCTATGAAAACTAAAAAAAAACTGTCAGAGCTCTTTAGGATCTTTGTGAGTGTCTTTCTTCAATTCCTGCCAGTATATCAACGTTGTCTTCAACTAAACAGGCTGAGATTTTAGTCAATTATGAGGTCATTTAAACTACAAGGTTATTATAAAGAATTTTTAGCATTCTTGTAGAAGTAAAAGTTTAATATACAAATATCCCGGGAAAAACTGCCAACTGGTTTTAACCTCTGTCTCACTTTGTCATGTTCTCCAGGGTTTCCAGGGCAAAAATGGTCCTCACGGGCCCCCAGGTGTCGTTGGACCTCAGGTAGGAAGAAGAATCAGCCCATTGGTTAATACTTTTTTTTTTTTTTTGCATTTTTTGAAGCTTCACATGACTTCATCGAACATTTCAGGGTAAATCTGGAGAGACAGGGCCAACTGGAGACAGAGGCCATCCAGGTTCACCGGGACCACCCGGTGAGCACGGTTTACCAGGATCGGCTGGAAAGGAGGGCGCCAAGGTGGGTGGTGTTTGTCATAATGTCAGTCTCATAATCACTTCACAGCGTAGTCTAGTAAAAGCTCCTCCACTCCTCCCCCCCCTCCCACCATAGCACAGCCGGTATTTCTCGCGTCCTCTGTCTCATCCTTCTCTCTAATTCGCTAATAAACAACACACAGGACACACTGCGGTGTTGGGTGTATGTCGACTCATGGAAGATAAATGTTCTTCCCTTTCATCTCACCACAAAAATGTGCATGTGTGTGCGATTTCAAGGGAGATCCAGGTCCACCAGGTGCCCTAGGGAAAACTGGTCCCCCCGGACACCAAGGCTTCAGAGGGAGCAGAGGGAACCCTGGTGCAACGGTAACACATCTTATACCTTTACCTTGTGAAAATATTTAGTCTTTAATGTAATGTCCTCTAAGACCTGAAGGGAATGTCTGTACTGAAGGGAGTCTAACAGCAGTACGTTAGAGAACATTTGTATTTTTGCTAAGTGTCCAATTTCCTTGGCTAGCTTTTCCTCTTTATTAAGCAATTTGAAACTTTTACCAATTTGTTGCTTGCTCATTTTCTTGCTCTACCTGCTTCTACTGCGCTAACGTTATCTCGTTTGCAATGCTGTTTAGCTCTATGCTACACTAGGAGATAACCCTAGCTTCCATTTTGTAAACTTTTTTTTTTTTTAATAATCATATTTGTAGAAAACAAAAAAGTTTAAGTGTCTTTCTTCAATTCCTGCCAGTATATTAGCATTGTCTTCCACTAAACAGGAGTAAATATTTATTGAAAAAAAAAAACTAGAATATTATTATATTGCATTACATATACTTTTTATGCCTGATGGTAAACATGTCCCATGGCTCTAAAAAGATTGGGAAACATGGGCTTAGACTAAGCTAAGAGCTTAGTTTACATTAAAATCAAGCACTATCTTATCACTTCCTTTCAGCTCCTTACATAACCACTCTACACCACAGCCAGTTCAATACTAGCTATTATGACGTTAAATTATTCAGTAACCCCAATATTTCTGTTGTACCTTAATTTCCGTACTTTAGGCCGTTACGTTTTCTACATACTTTGAGCCCTGCAGATTAAACAATGATAACGAGCTTCACGCCGCTAATGCATTTAGCCTCGTCACATCAGACCAATGGAATTATCGAACAGGTGTCAGTTAACGAGTGAAACTGTTAACCATAAACCATATGCATAAACACTATCATGCATTTAAAGTGGCACTCCGAGTTGAGTGGGAAAGCGTTGATGACGAGCGGCGAGTTTTTACAAACACTGACCGCATGCGAAGCGTAGCTTTTGCTCAAGTCCGCCATTGGATGCTGACGGCGTGGAGAAAACACGGGTCAGAAAACTCCACTATCACCAAAGGCTGGACTGCTGCGTGATTGAGAGGACAGCACAAGGTCAAGGTCCGAAGTAATATTGAGAGCGACAACATAAGAGACTGAAAAAGTGACGAAGTAATTCTGAGGCTGTTCAATTCCGACACGGAAAACGACCACTTTAGTGGTTTTAGTGCGCAGGAGGAAATTGAAGATAGTGATAAATGACTTTTCTGGTAGGCTAACCAGCCGTGTTACTGGCACTGTTCGGGAAAAAAAAATAATTAAGAAGTTTAATTTTAAATTTTTTTTTTACTGCAAGTGCAAAGTTCTTGCGTAAACGCCAGTCCGGACGCCAACAACCAACAACAACAACAACAAACCCCAAACATTCTTGTCTTTTAGCATCTTACCTGCTGCCGCTTCAGATCCGTGGTGGATGCTTTCGACCTGCGCAGTCTTTTCCGTGACAATAAGCACATTCGCGTGGCTTTGCGTCCGCCGGTGCATTGATTTTAATGCTCCGGTCTCGTAGGTCTTACGTAGTTATTTATTTATTTAATTCCGCTTTTGTTTGGATTTTAGTAAAACCTCCATTTTGACTTAACAGAAACATTTTTCTTGTCTCTTGGATATTGTAAACACAACAAAAATCAGATTATTGTTCAGTCACAACATAGACTAGGGGTTCCAATTTACATAAACACATTCAAATAACAAAAAATATGCTCAACATTTAATGAAATAACTGTAAATAAAATGTATGTAAACTGCAAATGAAACTATAACCTTATTATTGTCATCAGTTGATAACCTATGGTACAAACCTGCAGGTTTTCTGCAGCCCTCTAGGTGGCGCTATACAGACTGGCTGATTAAACCTTCTTCCTACAGAGTATGATGCGTTGGTGAGGTTGGGAATCCCAGATCCGTCTAACTACATCAAAAAGCGTTTCAAGTCCAACAAGCTGCTGTTCCTCAGAGGGGCCTGCGTGGGTCAGTCTCTGGTTGACCAGGTGGAGGCCTCGTTGGAGGAAGCCGTCAACTCAGCCACCTGGATCGACATGCAGGTGCTCACATGTTACAGTAGAGTACAGTTTGTTAACCCATTGTCAACAAAACGGTAACATGATACACTACCGGTCAAAAGTTTTAGAACACACACACTTTTTCCAGTTTTTTACTGAAAATTATTCAGTTTATTGTGTCATTGCACTCTGACATTAAAGCATAGAACAAATAAGCGATTTGAGTTGAAAAAGAAATCATGGAATCAATTTATAGACCAAAATGTATTCTAAATTTTAGAATAGCCACCTTTGGCAGATATAACAGCTTTCTACAATAGAAATCAAATATTCTTCAGAACGTTCTTCCCAAGTCTGTTGCAGAAGTTCTCATAAATGTGTGGCACTTGGTAGGTTGCTTGGCTTTCACTCTTCTGTCCGGTTCTTCCCAAACCAGCTCCATGGGGTTTAAGTCTGGAGACTGTGCTGGCCACTCCATGTTTTCAAGCTTACCATCTTGTTCTTTTTTCCTGATGTAGTTTAGCCATAGCTTGGACTTGTGTTTTGGGTCATTATCTTGCTGTAGGATGAACCTCTGACCAACTAGTTCACAGTGCCGTTCGCTCTGTACAAGTCACCGACCCTGCATCCCACTTCCTCCTCCATGTTTGACAGTTGATGTCACACACAGTTTCCCCCGGAGTGTCTTTTGATGGTGAAGAAAACTGTACTCACTGACACCTTGACTTTCTTTGCAAATTCCCTGTAGGAAAGACCAACATTTTTAGGTGTTATGACGGTCTGTCTCTCTTCCATTGTTAATTGCCTTTTTCTCGCCATTTTTGTAGCAACACACTACTTTCTGCAGTACAATTCTGTTCACCTGATGCTCATGAGGGTCTGGTACCACAGTGTGTTCCAAC